ACACAAATAACACACCAACGACAGACAAATAACACACCAACGATAGATAAATAACACACCGACGACAGACAACACACCAACGACAGACAAATAACACACCAACGATAGACAAATAACACACCGACGACAGACAGATAACACACCAACTATAGACAGATAACACACCAACAATACACAAATAACACACCGACGATAGACAAATAACACACCGACGATAGACAAATAACACACCGACGATAGACAAATAACACACCGACGATAGACAGATAACACACCGACGACAGACAGATAACACACCGACGATAGACAGATAACACACCAACGATAGACAGATAACACACCGACGACAGACAAATAACACACCGACGATAGACAAATAACACACCGACGACAGACAGATAACACACCGACGATAGACAGATAACACACCGACAACACACAGATAACACACCGACGATAGACAGATAACACACCGACAACACACAGATAACACACCGACATGTGTCATGGGACATGAAAGATGTTTGTCTTTAAGATTTTTATCTATTAAAGAGCTTTGTCTTTTAAGTTTTTTATCCGTTAAAGATGTTTGTCTTTTAAGGTTGTTATCCGTTAACGATCTCTGTCTTTTAAGTTTTTTATCCATTAAAGATGTTTGTCTTTTAAGTTTTTTATCCGTTAAAGATGTTTGTCTTTTAAGGTTGTTATCCGTTAACGATGTTTGTCTTTTAAGGTTGTTATCCGTTAAAGATGTTTGTCTTTTAAGGTTGTTATCCGTTAAAGATGTTTGTCTTTTAGGGTTTTTATCCGTTAAAGGTGTTTGTCTTTAAAGGTTTTTATCTGTTAAAGATGTTTGTCTTTTAAGGTTGTTATCCATTAAAGATGTTTGTCTTTTAAGGTTTTTATCCGTTAAAGATTTTTGTCTTTTAAGGTTTTTATCTGTTAAAGATGTTTGTCTTTTAAGGTTTTTATCAATTAAAGATGTTTGTCTTTTAAGGTTGTTATCCGTTAACGATGATTGTCTTTTAAGGTTATCTGTTAAATCTGTTTGTCTTTTAAGGTTTTTATCCATTAAAGAGGTTTGTCTTTTAAGGTTTTTATCCGTTAAAGATTTTGTCTTTCAGGGTTTGTATCCGTTTAAGATGTTTGTCTTTCAGTGTTTTTATCCGTTAACGATGTTTGTTTTTTAAATTTTTTATCCATTAAAGAGGTTTGTCTTTTAAGGTTTTTATCTATTAAAGATGTTTGTCTTTAAAGGTTTTTATCTATTAAAGATGTTTGTCTTTTAAGGTTTTTATCCGTTAAAGATGTTTGTCTTTTAGGGTTTTTATCCGTTAAAGATGTTTGTCTTTTAAGGTTTTTATCCATGAAAGAGGTTTGTCTTTTAAGGTTTTTATCCGTTAAAGATTTTGTCTTTCAGGGTTTGTATCCGTTAAAGATGTTTGTCTTTCAAGGTTTTTATCCGTCAACGGTTTGTTTTTTAAGGTTTTTATCGATTAAAGATGTTTGTCTTTTAAGGTTGTTATCCATTAAAGAGGTTTGTCTTTTAAGGTTTTTATCCGTTAAAGATGTTTGTCTTCTAAGGTTTTTATCCGTTAACGATGTTTGTTTTTTAAAGTTTTTATTCGTTAAAGAGGTTTGTCTTTTAAGGTTTTTATCCGTTAAAGATGTTTGTCTTTTTAGGTTGTTATCCGTTAAAGACGTTTGTCTTTTAAGGTTGTTATCCGTTAAAGACGTTTGTCTTTTAAGGTTTTTATCAGTTAAAGACGTTTGTCTTTTAAGGTTGTTATCTGTTAAAGACGTTTGTCTTTTAGGGTTTTTATGCGTTAAAGACGTTTGTCTGTTAGGGTTTTTATCCGTTAAAGACGTTTGTCTGTTAAGGTTTTTATTAGTGCTGGGCAACGATTAAAATATTTAATCGCGATTAAAATATTTAATCGCGATTAAAATATTTAATCGCGATTAAAATATTTAATCGCGATTAAAATATTTAATCGCGATTAATCGCATGGATTAATCACATTGTTATGGCAAAGTTCAATAATTAATTCAAAAGTAGTGTATTGCGCACTTTCATTTCAAAAGTACTGCTATATGAACAAAAGGGCAATAACATTTGGTTCACGAGATGCAGGTAGCATGTTTTATACTTAATGTGAATATAATTCATACTTTGTTGGCATCTTATTCTGAAAACCGGATGTTCGTCTGAAGAAACCGGATGTTGTCTCACGTTAATCTTTCCGCTAACTTTCAAAGTCCTTCGCTCGCTCCCGATCTGTGCCGTTTAAATGCGTTTACCGTGAATGTCAGTATATAGGTGCACTAACATGTCAGTGTCTGCTGAGTTGACGCTGAGATCCGAGTGTCTGCTGACTTTACCGCAGCGATGTCCAGTAGTCTCCAGGGGAGAGCAACAGCTGGTGCAGCTTCTCTCTTTATTTCTGCCCCCCCCCCCGCCCTCGACCAGAAGCGGAAGTCGCCTTTTCTCTACGGCAAACCTGAAGGGACATCATATCTCCAATACAAAACGATAAACATTAGACAGTCTGTTACAATAATAATGAATTAAAAATACTTACCTGTTTTTTTGTTGTTCTTTAATTATTTTTTTTTCCCCATCTCAAAAGGCTCAAGGACACACACACACACACACACACACACACACACACACACACAGTTTGCTGGCTTTTATCCCACTGTTCTTGTCATCCTCTTATGTATTGTCTCTTGTCTTTCAATTAAAAAAAATAACTTGCCCAGCACTAGTTTTTATCTGTTAAAGACCTTTGTCTTTTAAGGTTTTTTATCCTCAAAGGAGAGATTAGAGCACAAGAGGAAAGTAAAGTAAGAAACTAAGAATCACAGGAGGAACAAAATCATATATTTATCTCATACTGACGCACGTTGAACTTACAAATCTAAAAAACTACAAACTCCGACTGTCAGATAAATACACGAGTAAACAACCAACAGCTCCATCTGAGAGAAATCTCTCGATAATATAAACCGACACCTCAGTAAAGCTCCTTCATCTGGATACAACACTTGTTGAGAAGCTTATTCCTGCAGCTGCAGCGAATGAAGGACCCTCCGTTATATTAGCGGTAGACGTAATACATATTTAACGAGGCCTGATATAAAAGTAATACGTCACTCTGTAGTTTTCTGGAGGCTAAGGTGAGTGAATGACGGGGTGTTTACTTCCAGAGGCTTTAAAGAGTGTTTCCTGCTCACACCAGCGTTCAACAGATAACATTAATATAAAGATAGAAACTGTCCTCATCAACAAACATCACGAGTCAATCCATGTTTACAAAGAGACACATTTTAATATCAAAAGACAATATATTACAGTAACGGGAGTTGTGTGTCGCTGCGCCATCTGCTGGAGGCACAGAGAGTTTAAAGCAGGAAACAAACAAACTGATCTGCTCGTCTCTCAGGAGTCGTTGGGGAGACCAAACAGCTTTACGGTTCCGGCCTCCCGGTTGTTGTCGTACTTGCCCTCCTTGTCGTCGCAGGCGTAGGCCAGCAGAGGCCTCTTGGGGTGCCAGGCGACGGTGAAGGTCGGAGAGTCACACTGAACCTCCCACAGCTTCTCTCCTGCACAAACAAAAGCACCATATTTACATGAAAATAAAGATCTCTTCAGATCTCAACTTTTATTTTTCGAGTGGTTTGCATTGACGTTCAAGCAAACCAGGAAAAAAATTCACTTTAGAAGAGACTCAGAGATTTTACAATTAAAACGTAAGAAATGTACAAAAAAGATGGAACGAACGGGTGAAAGTGAACAGCAACAATCTGAATAACAGACACAATGTTTGATAGAAAAGTCTCTGTAAATCTTTTAAAAGGTTTAAACCTCTCTCACTGACCTGTCTCCACTTCTGCGATGTCGATGAAGTGATCCTCGGAGGCCGACGCCAACATCTTCCCATCGTGGCTGAAGCTCAGCGTCCTGACGGGCCAGTCCAACCTGCAACGTCAGCAGAACGACAAGAACCCCATCAACCAATGAGAAGAGAGATTCAGCTAACGAGGGTCATGTGTCATAATTAAAAGGAAGTGGGAGGAGTCACATGTTTCTAAATGTGTTTAAAGCTGATCAGACGATAATATTAATATTAGTATTTTAATATTAGTAGAATTAGATCCAGTGGTGTCACACTCATGTGATCCGATAACTTTAGATCATTGTAAAGTGCAAAAGTCCAAATTAATTAACAAAAGATTAAGTAAATTCTCATCATGTTTTTATTTTTCAATCCATATTTATTGACGTTTAATCCTAAAAAAAAAGATTTTTTACAGCAGTAAAAAAACAGTTCTCGCTGCAAACAATAATAATTAAAGAAAGATGATTTAATAAAAACAGACTTTAGAGAAATTGAGGATTTAGTTTGACTGTTTTTTTGGGGTGATGTAACTATAGTAATAATAATAATAATATTATATTAATAATAATATTATATTATTAATAACAACAACAACGATAATAATGACAACATTATTAATAACAATAATGATAAAGACAACAATATTAGTATTAATAAAAATAACATTCATAACAATATTATTAATAATAATATTATTCATAATAACATTATATATGATAATAACAATAATATTAATGTTATTAATAATAATAATAATATTAATAAAATACCAATAATATTCATAATTTTAATAATAATGATAATAATAACGTACCTGGAGAAGCAGCGGACACACACCAGCTCCTCTACGTTCCACAGGCTCACCAGAGCGTCGGCGCTTCCTGTGGCGAAGTATTTCCCCATCGGGTCGAACTTGATGCAGATGCAGTTAGACGGGTGAGCGTTGATGGACTGGATGGGCTTCAGCTCCGGGTAACTAAACCAGAACAACACACATCGGTCATCATTACAGTCTGCTAACAGGAAGTGGACACCAGGTGAATGTGAGCCTCGTATGGGTGAACTAAAGCGTCAGCTTAATCTCCCCCCCTCTCAAGCGTCAGCTTAATCTCCCCCCCTCTCAAGCTGACGCTTGAGAGG